CAACCCCTCTTTAATGAAAAGGTATAAATTTTTATTTCACTTTCATTTTGGCCCTAATTTTAGTAACTGATTTCGTTACCTTAATAATTGTGATTAATTTGACAAATTATATGCAGGTTGCGTTTCCCAGCTTGGAAGAATTGGAAATCTTTGGCTTGAAGAAGTTGAGGATCATATGGCACCACCAACTCCCTGCAGATTCCTTCTGCAAACTAAAAATTTTATCGATTTGTTGTTGTGATAAATTATTGAATATTTTTCCATCTTATATGCTTGCTAGATTATTGACATCAGTGGAAGAGTTGGTGGTAGTATCTTGTGGGAGTCTAAAAGAGATATTTGAACTTGGAGAATTGAATGTGGAAGAGTCACGTGCTGTGGTAAACACTATGTTAAGAGAGTTTGTTTTGGTACGTTTACCAAGGTTGAAGCATTTGTGGAGCAAGAATCCCAGCGGAATTCTCACTTTGCGGAACTTGCAGACTGTGGTAGCTGTTGGTTGTCAGAACCTCCAAAATATGTTCCCAGCTTCAGTGGCAATGGGGCTTCAGCAACTTGAAGTTTTGAATATACCAGTTTGCTTGATGATGAAGGAAGTTGTAGCATTGGAAGAAGGAGATGAAACAGTTCCTAGGTTTGTGCTTTCTCGTTTATCTACTCTGAAGCTGTGTGTTCTACCAGGACTCAAATATTTCTATCCTCAGAAACACGTAATAGAGAGCCCCATGTTAAAAGATTTCTATTTAGATCTACGGAACTCTTTTAAAGAAACAGAAGGAGAGAGGCTTGGCAAATTTCCAGTTCAACTACCACTTTTCTCTATAAAAAAGGTATGAGCCTCAGTTACTAAACAATTTTGTAGTAACTCTTTTTTTGTTCTTTTTGGCTTTTGCTTCCGAGTTCTGGTTAGATCTATTATTTATCAGTTGTCAAAACAAAATTTAACAGCCGTTGTTCATAAGGAGAATAATTCGCTATAAGCAATATCAACTGCTGAAAACTAAAATTAAAATTAAAAAAACTAACAATTTACTTAAGATATAATTTTAATATTTGAAAATTAAAAACATAAATTTATTTAATAATATTAAATTTTTTTTTTATTTACCTAATAATCATAATAATAGTTTTAAAAATATATTAAAATAAACAAGTTATTTATTTAAAGTAACAAAATTTATAAAAATTTAAAATTACAACTAAATTAAAGAGAGTCTAAGAACAATCAAAATAGTAATTGAAAACTAAAATAAAAAATTTTAAATGCAAACTTATTTGAGTATGAATTTTTTTTAACTAATATCTAAAGCTAAAATTTTAATTAATCTATCAAGTTTGTTAATTTTATTTTAGAAAATTTATTAAAAACTAAAAACCATGGTCATATTAAATGAAACCTAAATAGTACATCAGAAAAATGATTGATGCATCATTTAATTAACACATTTTTTGACATTTACCTAGTTTCACTATTAAAATATGATATAAATATAGTCAATTTAACTAGTTTTTATATTTTATATATATGTATGGCTTCATTTTTTAGTTTGTCTGCTTTTAATTCAAAAGTATAAAAAAATAATTTATTTGAAGAATGTCTTATGTTGTATGTTAAATTAAAAGGTATAGCAATCAATTTCCAATTCATTAACATAGATAAGGATATGCGTATAACCTATTACTACAACTTTTCTTTACAACTTTCTCACTTTATTAAATGAATATTTTCATACAATATTTCAATAAAGTAAGGTTTTACTTAATTTGTGGCTTTAAAGGTGCATTAATTGCAAATTTTTCTTCTTAATTTATTTGAAAAAAATACAAAAGTTAATTTTATTTTTAATAATAATGACGAGTACAATTTTAATAAGGTGATTAATAAAATTAAGTTCAAACTTTTTTTCCATTACAATTATGTTCTCTGTTTTGAAATAATTGTAATTTTTTAACTTTAAGTTTGTTTCAAATTAATTGTGAAAATTTTCATTTTTTAAAGTAGACAGACATTTTTTTTCTTAGTTTAACTCTATCACTATCTATTTATTTTAATTAATTATTTTTCATAAAAAATATCATTGTATCTTTTAATTTTTTTAAGGATATTATAAATAAATATAAATATTATCTTTAAATTAAAAAAATAAATTTAAAAATAATAATTATTTTAAAATAAAAAATAATTGAAAAATATAATTAATGAACATTTAATCAAAATAGAAGTAAAAACACTCATAAAATAAAGAGAGTTCGATGACTGAATGCGTAAAGTTGTGTAAAAAATTATATTTAAAAGTTCTCAGTAAATTATTTTCTCAGTAAAGTTCGATGGCTATAGTTTTTTTTTTTTTTCTTTTTCTCCTTGTGTGTGTGTGTGTTTTCTCTTGAACGTGCTGAAAGCAATTATTGGGGGACTTATAAGTTCTTTTAATATGCTTTTATTTTCTGGGTGGTTCACCATATGATACACATGGTCTTTTTTTGGCTATTTTTTGGGCATAGACCATGGAACATAAAACATAATACCCTCACAAGCACCCGTTGTTGATTGGAGCAAAGAGAGAAAGCAAAAAATCTC